AATTAGGAATAAAAACAAGTCATTTGAAGCAGAGGAAGTGGAGGTGTCTAGGTTCTTGGTGAGATGATAACCAATTTTGACTCTTGGTATCCATGCAGCTTAGAGAAAAAGGGAGATGTGTTTAGCAACATGGATTTCATTTTCTGACCAGAAAAAGCATACACACACACACATGTTTTGCTGGAAAGATAAATATTTTTGGAAGTGAGGTTAAATTGGTCTTACTTAAATTTCAAGGAGAAACTTTTTCATGTGATTTGTGTAAGTGACAAGATAACAGTGGACATTGTTCAAAAACAAACCAAAAACAAAGTTTGCAGAAGACTTATTGGGCTATTCTCATGGGCAGTTCTTACATTCATCCTTAGATGCTTACATAGCTTGTCTTTTGCATCAGGCTCTTTTTATAGTTAGTTTGCTTTGACGGGGGAGTGGGAGAAGAACTGAGGCCATGGCTTTGCCTGAAGTAGAGATAGATTCTTCCTCAGGCCTTCTTTTTTATATTTTTGAGTGTATTTACCTTTAAAATAATGAAAGACAAAGACTTAATAATCTGCAACTTCACCAATTTTTAATTTATAAACTCCTCTAAAATTAAGATTTGTTTTCTGAAAGACGAACCAAGAAAGTCTTTTAAAAAAAACGCTTTTTTCCTTGGTCCTAATTTTTTCTCTAGTAAAACTTATTGATTGGTTCAGTCGTTGTAATTATATTTCATTTATTCATAAAACAAGCATTTATTAAATCCCTGCTGTTGGCAGGAATTGTGTATGCTGGGTTTTAGGGCTTCAGAGTAGATCGATTCCTGCCTGTGAGGATTTCCTAGTCAGATGGAAGGAAACATAGGGCAAAAGGGTTATGTGTGGATCTTTCTTCAAATAGGAGAGCTCGGGTCAGCCTGGCTCAATTCAGTAAAAAGAACATGGTCTTTGCAGTCAAACACAACAAGCTTTGAATCCCATGTGTTATTTGTATGACCCCAATAAATTACTAAACTGTCTGTGTACTGTTACCTAGCTTATAGGGCTGTTGTGAGAATTAAAAAATATAATATGTGAGATGTATGTAATACAGCACCAAACATAGAAGACACCTTTTCCTCCTCATCCCCAAATAATTAGGCTCTAGAGAGGGCTCCAGTTAAAAGGTGAATTAGAGAACTTTCTGTAATTTTCCTAGACATTCTGGACTCTAGTTGTGTTAGAATTATCATGACATTATTTCATTTGATCCTGATAAAAGGTCAGTGAAGTAGGGTAGGGCAGGTATTTATAGATGAGAAAATGGTTTCCTGTTTCTTTTATCTTGAAATCCTTTGGAAACCTGTTGGATGAAAAAGATTTTCTGGAACTCTAAATGGTATGATAGTGAACACCTATAAAAGCTCATATTTTTACAGTCTTTGAGAAAGCTGCAGTTTAGATAAATTAACAGTATCTGAAAGAACTTAACAATTGATTTCATCACCCACCATTTTTGGGGAAGTGGAGGTGTAAAAATGTGTCATCAAATATACTGTTTTTAACAGAGCAACTTGTATAAATAATTACATAAAACCTCAATTTTCCAAAACTACCATCACTTAGAAGGTATGGATTATTGAAAGATGTTTAAAGATGTTAATTGAATTCTCTAATCAACTGAGAATTTTAAAGTTTAAGGTATTCTTTTGATTGGTGTTTGGACTAAAAAAGCTAGATTTAATAAGTACAAGAATATTAGATGGAAGAGACTAGAGATAAGGAAACAGCTGAGTCTGAAGTGGCCCAGGTGCAGTAGAGAACAGCAACGGGATGACAAGAAGGTAGGATGCATTTCACTAGGAATTGAATTTAAAAAGCAACTTACTGAGATAGATTATGGAGTTACCGCCAGTGTAGTCCAAACTCTTACCTTTGCAACATTTTGTATTTATAATTGTTGAATATATTGACCCTAAAAATACTTCTTTAAAAAAAATCCCCAAATATCAAAAGGTTTGTATTCAATGTACTATACTTGGTCGTAAGAGGATATAAACAGATTAGGAAGCATTCCTATTAAGGTTAAAAGAAAAAAGTTGTGTTCAGAGGATTAATCTTGGTAACTAGACTATTCTCTGGATATTCTATCTGAAAGTTCACAGAAGTTGTATTTTTAAATAAATTTGCCATGCATTGTTCTATTTTAATTGTCATTAATTACATTCTTGTGACAGCTTTAAAAATATTTAATTTTGAGAGATCTCAGATACACAGAAAAAGTTCACCTATTTCAGAATAATAAATATCCATGTACCTGTTACCCAGATTTGACAGGTATTAACATTTTGCCATATTTACCTCAGATTTTTTTTTAAAGAAAACCTTAACATACACAGCTAACATCTCCCAGGTATATTTTTGTACTTGTGTATGTAGTCATGTGCACTGTGTGTGTGCCATTGTGTGGAACCTGGGTTGCTAACTGCTTTGGAGAACAGTTTGGCATCAACCAATAGAACTGATGATCGTTTTTGTTGGTTATCTCATGGTACATAACAAACCACCACAAAATGTAGTGGTTTGAAACACTGATTTCTTACTTGTCCTGATTCCTTGGGTTATCTCAGTGGTTCTGTTTGTTTCACGTGGGCTCACTGATGGGACTGCATTCAGCTGCAACATTGGGCTGGAAATTTCAAAATGGCCTATTCTCATGTTTGATGGTTTATGCTCGTGGCCAGCTGCAGTGTTGTCATTTCTCTGCCACATGGTCTCTTCCAATAAGTTAGATTGGCTTCCTATTCCATGGTGGTCTTGAGGGCAGCCAGACAAGAAACAGAGGTGGAAGTTGCAAGGCCTCTTGAGGCCTGGGTCCTAAAGTCACACAGTCTGGCTTCCATGCTTTTTATTGTTCAAGGAAAGTCACAGTCCAGCCCACATTCAAGGTGAGGGGAAATGGACCCCATCTTTTGATGTGAAGCAAAGGGACAGTCACATTGCATAGGAGCATGAAAAGACTTGTTGCCTCCATCTTTGAAGGCAGTCTGCTACATTATCATATTCTTCAGTTAAACTGTTTTATTTCTGTCTGTCCTGGAGGAACTTTTTCACAAAAAGACATGTGCAAAATTGTTCATTGCCAGATTGTTTGTAATAGCAAAAAAGTAAACCAATATAATTATCCTTCCAGAGGAAAATGGATAGTAAATTTTAGTTTATTCATGGAATACCATACAGCAATTAAAATGGATTACTACCTCTCTGTGGATCATCGTGAATAATTCTAAAGTAGGTTGAGTGTGAAAATCAGGTTGGAAAAGAATATGGGTAGAAAGATATTTATGTAATAGCTTTAAACTTTAACATTTGAAGTTTCTGAGGTAGGCTAGTGAGAATTTTGTTTCTGTTTTTAAATCGAAGCTTATCTTTGGGTAGCCTCCTTAGAACTTGGTGCTCTGAATGGCTTCCACCCTTGAATAGACAGGTAAGCTGTACTGTTTTCTGGCCAGACTCAGGGTTTGTCTGGGCTAGCCATTACAGGTTTGTTGTCTGTTTGTGCAATTCTGTCTCTTTCTGTACTTTTATCAGTAATGTTGGAAAAATCATCTTAGAGTACAATTCTTGAGATAGTCATTTAATGCCACCATCTGTATTTATATCAGTTTAACCTCTCTGAGTTTGTTTCTTATCTGAAATGGGGAGGATGATATATGTCTCATCGGGGTTTAGGAAGATTAATTGAGATAATAGTGTATAAAACACTTAGAGCAGTACCTGATACATGGTAGGTGCTCTATAAACAGATGTTGGGAAAAAATAAGTATATACAATGGCATCTATGTTCAGTTCACTTTTAATTGTGTTATAACTAGGTGGGATTACTTTATTAAAGTAATTACAGCACTTCTGAAATTATTAAAGTTCCATTATGGTTATAATACTTTACATTCTAAAGGAAATTTAAATTTACCAAATTCTTTCATATTCATTTTCTGATTTTGTTATCAGGACAACTTTGTCACATAGTTACCTTCTACTTAAGATAGACTCCCAGGTGTCTGGAGAGGTTGAAAAAGCAGTGGTAGTAGAAATTTTATGATGGTTCTAAGAATATATTAAAGTGGAAATAGTGAAACCATAATATTTTCATTTTTAGGAGTTACTTTGTATTTGTGTGCTTTACCTACTGAGATTCTGGATAGATTTGGCTCTGGACTCTGTGTGTGTGTGTGTGTGTGTGTGTGTGTGAGAGAGAGAGAGAGAGAGAGAGAGAGAGAAGAGGGAGTGGGAGAAGGAGAGGGAGAGAAAGATAAAGATGGGGGAAGGAGAAAGACTGTAGAGGGCTGTTTGTGATCATGGGACTCTGGAAAGGGGGGTCCACAGCCTTTCTCTTGCTCAGATCCAATAGTGTGGTATTGCCTTGCCCCCAAAGTCGTACTTCTAAGTATAAAGACGATTTCTGTGATTTTATTCTTTTTTGGCTGCTATGTATATGCCAGGGATTTGAGGAGATCCCCTTAGGTTGAATATGGGTTAGAATTAATCTCCAATTTGGCTAACACTGTGAATTTGCTAAGCTAGATGTGGCACATTTATTTGCTGGCTACTGTTCAAATGCATTGATTTGCTCAATTCTTTTTCAGAGGTAAAAGTCATGCATTTTTAAATTTCCTGTTTTGGTTTTATGTTTTAAAAATTTAAGATAAACCTGTACATTTGTGACTCATACTTTTCTGGAATGAAAATATTGGTAGCTGGTATTTTGGATAGTCTCATTTGAATCATTCCCATTGTAGGTTGTTTCGTAATTTTTAAAAAATTGATGACTCATATATTAGGTCTCTATTCTATGTCGTAAATAAATTACCTTTTACCATTTATTTGGATTTTCTTCCAGATAAGTAAGTTTGACTTTGCTTGGGATCATGTGCCAATGGTGGATTAATTTTGAAACTGATTATGTTTATCACTTATCCTGTGACTCTGAAATACTCTAGAAACAAATTATATTAAATGTATTTTTTGTTTTGTTTTCAGAGTCCCTCTTGGTCTTGGAAGAAATACTTGAACAAACATGACCGAGTTCTGGCTTATATCAGCTCCCGGGGAGAAAACATGTCAGCAGACATGGGAGAAACTGCATGCAGCAACCACAAAGAACAATAATCTTGCTATTACTTCAAAGTTCAACATTCCTGACTTAAAGGTAAGACTATATTGTGCAGAATAGTGCAGGAGTTCTTCATGAGAGGAAGGACAGTGTCTTTGCTTACCTTTTGGCAGAAGTGAGATACCTAGGTTACTTCAACAGAAAACTCCCTAGTCATTGGCATAATTTAAAACCCATCTTGTTCTTTCCAATCTTCAGATTTTAAATAATGAGGAAATTTGGCCACCCAAACAAAATAATACTTCCCTTAAACCTTTGTACTTTTCTAAATTGTAATTTAAATTGTAGTGAGAAACTTTATGAAAATATTTGATGTATTACATTCCCAAATATGACTTCCAGAAGTGAAAAATCTCAGTCATGCATATTGAATATCACAGTGAATCCATTTTTCTTTTACTAAATTCATATAATGCTCACTAGTGTAAATGTTTTACCACTGCACCTCTTTAATCATATTTGACAAATCTAACCTAGTTATTTTATCTAGTTATGTATTTAACATTTATTAAAGTTCAGTAACCTAACAGCCTCAAAGTGAAATAGGCTGCCAGAATTCAGTTGACTGAACCGTAAGAATGGAAGAGATCATGATTTTGCTGGTTAAATAAGTGAGGCAGTTTTACACAGGAGTCATTTAAGAAATACTTGAAATTACTGCTTCTTAATATGTTGGGTGTTACAAATTCCTTTGAGACACTGGTATAGACTGGACATTTCTTTAAAAACATGCTCATTCACACATAGACAGTTTACAGATTATAGACTCTCTGTTGCACAATCATGACCCCTACCTAAAAGCTGCTCTCGTAAGCCATGATCCACCATCACTGGGCAGTACAAGCACAGTCTGCTTTTGTGGAATCTTCACATCCTAAGTGGTGTTTGTACCTATAAGAGGATTATCTTATACATAGAAATAGTTTTTAAATCTCGGGAAAAAATTTTAACCACACTTGTACATTATGAAATAAAATATGGAGAACTTACAATTTGTGGATCCTTTAAATCTAGATGTTGTCAAGATACATCATCTTGTTACAAAACAAAAAGGATGAAACCAAAGTAATAAAATGCTCTCCTTCCTAGGTCGGCACACTGGATGTTTTGGTTGGTTTGTCAGATGAACTGGCTAAGCTGGATGCATTTGTAGAAGGGTAATGTACTTACACACATAAACTAGAGCAAAATGTGAGTTATTGTTATCAGGCCACCTGGACGTTGGGTTATTGTTATATGTATTGCTGGAATGGTTTTAGAAAACAAGGACTTTTTTTCTTTGCAAATCAACTGTATGAAGATACAGTCCACATACAATAAAATGTATGTTCGAAGTGTAAAAATTACTTTTTAATATCTTTGTTGAGATATAATTTAAGTACTATGCAATTCACCTATTTAAAGTATACAGTTCAGTGATTTTTAGAATATTCAGAGTTGTGTAAACATTGCCACAATCTCTTTTAGTACATTTTTACCCTCCCCCACAAAAAACTTGTTCCCTTTAGCAGTCACTCCCTGTCCTTTATTGACCACTATTCTACTTTCTGACACCATTTATTTGCTTATTCTGAACATTTCATACAAATGGAATCATACAATATGTGATCTGTTGTGATGCTTCTCTTCCTTGGCTTAATGTTTTCAAGGTTCATCTATGTAGCATGTATCAATATTTAATTTCTTTTTATTACTAAATAATATTCCATTATATAGACATGTCACATTTTATTAATCTGTTTATCAGCTGATGGACATTTAGGTTATTTCCATGTTTTGGTTAATATGAATGATGCTGTTATGAATATTTGTGTACAAGTTCTTGTATGCTCTGATGTTTTCATAAACATGCTCTTGGGTTTTCATAAAGACGCTCTTGGGTTATGTACCTAGGAATGAAATTGATAGGTTATATGATAACTCTGTGTTGAACATTTTGAAGAACCCCCAGACTGTTTTCAAAGCAGCGGCACCATTTCACAGTCCCATCAACAGTATAGAAAGGTTCTAATTTCTCCACATTCTTGACAATACTTGTAACTATCCATCTTTTTGATTATATAGTGGATATAAAATAGTGTTTCACTTATGTTTTTGATTTTTATTTCACTGATGGCTTATTATGTATTGAGCATCTTTTCGTGTGTTTATTGGCCATTTATGTTTCTTCTTTGGAGAAATGTCTGAATCCTTTGCCGTTTAATTGGCTTATTTGTCTTATAATTTGTTTAATTTTTAATTTAAATTTAAAGTTTACTCGGCTTATTGAATTGTAAGAATTCTTTATATATTATAGATACAAGTCCCTTAACAGATGACTTGCAGATATTCTGTGGGTTGCTTTTACTTTCTTGACAGTGTCCTTTGAAACATAAATTTTTAATTTTGATGTCCAATTTATCTATTTTTGTTGCCTGTGTTTTTTATATGTCTAAGAAATCATTGCCTAATCCAACATCACAGAATTTTATGTCTATATGTTCTTCCAAGAGTTTTGTAGTTTTAGCTTTTACATTTCGATCTTTGATCCATTTTGAGTTAATTTTTGCATATGGTGTGCGGTAGGAGTCCAACTTCATTGTTTTGCATGTGGGTATCTAATTGTCTTAGTACTGTTTCTTGGAAAGACTATTCTTTATCTGCTGTATTGTCTTGGTACCCTTGCCAAAAGTCAATTGAACATAAATGTGAGGGTTAATTTTTGGACTCTCAGTTCTTTTCCATGTCTTTTGATTCCATATTTCTATCCTTGTGCTAGTACTACACTGTCTTAATTACTGTAGCTTTGTAGTACATTTTGAAATCAGGAAGTATGAATTCTTTTTTTTTCCCCCAAGATTGTTTTGGCTATTCTGGCTCCTTTCATTTCCATGTGAATTTGAGGATCACTGTGTCAAATATCTGCAAAGAAGTCAGCTAGAGTTTTTTGTTTATTTTTATTAAAAATATCATTGATATATAATCTTATATCAGTTTCAAATACATAACAGTGGTTCAGCATTTACCCATATTACCAGCTCCTCGCTCCTCATCCCCTCCAGTGTGCTCACTATCCATCAGTGTAGTAAGATGTTACAGAATCATTAACTGTATTCTCCGTGCTGTACTACCATCCCTGCAACCAGCCTATGATGTAATTGCAAATTATTGTGTCCCTCAATCCCCTTCCCCCTCCCAATCCCTCCCACCTTGATAACCACTAGTCCCTTAGTGTCTATGAGTCTACTGATATTTTGTTCCTTTGGTTTTGTTAGCTGGGGTGTTGATGGGGATTGTGTTGATTCTGTAGATCGATTTGGGTTGTATTGCCATCCTAACACAGTCTTAGATGCATGAATGTGGGATTTTATGCCATTTATTTGAAGCTGGTGATGCTTTTGTCCTCAAAATTCAGTTACATTAGAAGAGTTTTTCTAAACTACAGTTTTAGTCACTTTTAAAATTCAGTTACTTTAAATTTTAGCTGAAGATGGGAATGGTATCCTTGATAACTTTCTGCATTTTGATTAATTGACAGAATCAGCCTGCAATCCTTTTGATGCTCTGAATACAGAGCTTAGGGCTTAGGTAAATAGGTGTAATTTGTAAAATAGAGAATTTTGTTGAATCTTAGAAATGTACACTTGATTGAATCTTTAAGGGAACAGGCTTTAATTGAAGGGAACTTATTCTTGAAATCTATGCAGAACAGTTTCCCATTTATGCTGTTACATTTTTCTGAATTGATAGAATGTTTCTGGTAACAAGCTGAGATTTTTGCCGAGACATCTTTTAATATCACAACAAGTTAGCAAGGAAATAAACAGAACTAAAAATGTACTGGTGGTCTTTAATTTTTCAGGCAAAAGGGCCAGTCAGTAGACAGTTTTACAGTACATGAGGCAAGAGATAACACAGCCACAACTAAGGCCAGGCACTTGTCAATAAGAATGGAAAAGACAGGATGAAAGAAGTAACAAGGTATGTTTAGGGTTAATAATTCTATGCATTAACATAGAGCAGGTATAAAAATAATTATTGATAATATTCTTAAAGGGTAATTGATAAGAATCATCTCTTGGTTTCTTGATTACAGGTTTTTAATGAAGAAAAAGGTTAGGAGAAACTTTATAGTTGTCATCCCTGAGGTGATTGTCTTCCCTGCAGTCTGTCTACCTCATTTCAGTTTCAGAGCATTGAGAAGGAGTTCCCGAGAATATAATCATTAACACCTGTTTGGACCCTTATCAGTCATCATCAATGGCATTATAGGTCTTTCTTTAAATCATCAGTGGGATGTTCTGAATATAGTTTAAGGTTTGCTCACATTTTTTAGGGAAGGAATCTGAAAGTATTCAGGACAAATGTAGTTCCTTTGGTCAGTAGAACTGAAAATTACCTGTTCAGTTTGTCAGCTGTTCTTTTCTGCACTTTTATGCCATCTTGTCTTCATCAGTCTTCCTGAAAGACATGAGGAATTTAAAAATCATGTGGTGGTTAGACCTTGGGAGAATTGACAGATGGTGGCTTAATGACTTCGCTGTTCCAGTTTTTAAAGTCTGAACATTGTGGTAGATAGAGGAAGTAAAGTTCATACATTTTCAGTAATTTAATCATCAGAGCAGATTTTTTTTTTTAAAGGTGACCTCGTGTACTTTGACATAGGTATTCCTGTAGAGCTATACAGAGACATAGAGTTCTGTTAAGCAATGTTAAGTTGATAAACTCGGCACTAGGCAAGTTCTACACTCTGAACTATTTCTACACATTTTGAATGTTCTAGAAAATGGTTCTGTTTATAAGATGTTTATCAAGTTATATGGGAATAGTGGTTTGTCTCCTTTCAAAGAATGGGTGAATTTTGGAGACACAGCTAAGTATGTGTACACAATCCAAATTAAGTGTGTCAGAGATGTGTGGCTTACATCATTCTTTCTGAAATTGTTAGGTTTGAAGTCATACAGCTTAGGATTGCCATTGAAATTTAGCCCTCCTGTACCCTTTTTCTGGCCCTTACTAGTTCATGTTGCAAGAATGTCTTAATTTATAATTCAGTTTATCCTCCCTGCCCTTGAGCATATCAGTCACAGTAATTGTCTGAAGCCCTGTGACAACCATGTTGTGCCTTCTCTAAAGTGTGGCATCTGTCTGCAGCTTGGTGCCAGCCTGCCTTCCTTGCCTAACTTCCCCTGCTCCTCAGCACCATGCTCCAGGCAGTCTGGGCCCCTCATCGTTCTCTAATGCCCGTTGCTTTTCTGCTGCCTTATCATGACTCGTACAATGATGCCCTGTAGCAAGAATATACTTTCTCCCCATCTAATCATCCTTTCAAAATCATTCCTATCCTTCATTGCCCTGCTGATGAGCCATTATACTTTCTTGATTCTAGTAGTTGGAAGGGATCCCTTTTTCCTTCCTGTGTCTCTTTCTGTAACCAGGTAATCTCACAGAGTGCTTTGTATTTAGTCACTTGTAGTTCTTGGTATCTTTCCAATTTAATTTTAAGCTATGTGAACCTAGTGATTTTGTCTTGTATACTTTTGTACCAGAGGGCCTAGAGGCACACATGGAATGGAGGAAGGAACACTGGACTCCAAAATTGAGGCACTATTTTCTATTCACAGACCTGCTGTTAACTGGTTTTGTGATTTTGTTTCTTGTGACCAAATCATGTTCTTTCTTTATACCGCAGTGCCTTTACTTACATAAGTTGAGGGGATTGACAAGGGATATCTAGGGGCCTTGATAGTTTTGGCACTATGGTTTCCTGTGTAGAGTTGTTTCTTGCAAATCCTAGATGCTCAATAAATAGTTAATAAATAATGTAGGACCTCATTCTTCATTATTACTGTTGCTTATGTTCTGATGCCTGTCAGATTCCTTTTGTCCTAAGGGTAAGCATATAATCAGTGACTGCTGGCTCCCTCCCTCCTCCTGTTTTTAGTCCTTGTAGTCAGATCTTTTGCCCATTTTCTCAGCATATAAGATCTGGTTATTTACAACCTGTTTCTTACTAACTTCCCATTTCTTTCTTTCCAGACTTAATAATGTATTGTACGTAGTCTCCTTAAAACTCTACAGTTACTCATTTGAGTTTGTATATAACAAAATCTTGGTCCATTTTATCCTTAAAACATTATTCATAGAAGTTGGGACCCATTGGTTCTGTATTAAGTAGAAGTATGTAATAGGAACATTTATAGTTAAATTCATGTATTTATGTAATGTAGTCATTGTGTAGTATTTATTTAGGTATTTTCCCTGAGAATGATTCTTAACTTTTCTTTCCTTCCAAGGGTGGTTAAGAAAGTGGCTCAGTATATGGCTGATGTACTGGAGGATAGTAAAGATAAAGTTCAGGAGAATCTGTTGGCCAATGGAGGTAAGCTCATGTTTCATGATCTGATATTGACTTTCATAAAGTGGATGGCTTAACTACAAAAAAAAGTGAAAAAAGAAAATCTGTAGGTAAGGATATTAAATACAATGGAAAGCCATAAAATAGAATTATTATTATCACACTGCCATTTCCATCCTGTCCTCTGAAAAGCAATTTCATGTATGACAATCTTATGTATAATATATAATATATAGCTTATATGGATGTCAAGTCCTTCAAAAAGCAATATTATGAAGACTTACCTTACTTAGTTCTTTCCAGGATCTATTTGTTAACTCAGATTTACTATTGTGTTTCCAAGTTAATGTGTCTCAGCATTGTTCCAGTTGAATATTTGTTGTCTTCTCTAGCTTTTTATGTTTAATAGTGTCCCAACTGCTAAAGCCTTAGAATATAAATTATTTTATTGCAGAATAATGCCTCCCCCCCATCAAAGTTGAATATGGCATTTCCTTAGAAAGGTGTACTACCGACCTCTCTGTAGCTAGAAACTAATATTTATAGAGGTTGCTCTGTGTAATAATGGCTTTGACTTTATTGTCTTCTGTACTTGCATTTGTTGTTTTATTATGTACTGTTACTTTAGCATTTGCTTTTAAAGTAGGCTGATCTTTAGTGATGGGTCATTATAATAAGAAATAACCCTTTCTTTCATTCTGTCCTGTATTGTCTGCTATAACAAAGGTCACTGTTGTGACTTTGTTAAATTAGCATTTGTTAAGTAGAGTCCAGGTCTGTCTAGGGATGGTGAGCCAGGGTTCAACAAAAGATCTTAATCAAGGGAAAGTGAAATAGAGAAATTTATTACTCATCAGTCCTGGAGGTGGGCAGGGCATGTGGGAGGTCAAGGCAGGGTGCAGGTAAAAGGGCAGGAGCTGAGGCACATGCCTTTAATATGGTCTGCAGGTGGAGTGCTTTGGGGTTCTCAGGCTAAGTCCAGATCAGTAAATTCAAACCAAAAAGAGTGGGATCTTGGTATCCTTAGAGGGAATCTTATCTAAGGGGCACACAAGGGGAATGTCCCGGGGAAGAGTGCTTATCACAGGGGTCATATCTGGGGGAGTTATATCAGGAATTTATATTTACTTGTCATTCTGTAGGCTGTTATCTAGGGCTGTTATCAAGGGTAGGGCTAGTGCAGTTTCTAGGCACCTGCAGGCCACTTGGCCATACAAAATGGATATTGAGGCAGCAATATGGAGTAGTTTGGCTAAACTCTTCTTCGTTAAACTCAACAGAGTCACTGTATTTTAAATCTAATGTTTTCTGGTTTCATTTCTTCCTCTTGCAGAAAAACATGCTCAATGAATCAGTAAAAAAAAAATTCAGTAATTGGTTCTTCCTCTTTGTTATAATCATGATCTTGACCTAATTGTTTGCTGTTCCTGCTAATTTGTGTTTGGGACAGAAAGACAGAATTTATGTTAATTTAGGGTGGCTTTACTGATCTTCTAGGTATTTGATGACTAAGGTAGTCAGTCTAGTAGGTAGGATAGGGATTAACAATCTAGGGAACATTACATCTAAAAGTGCTTTTGGAAATACCATCTTATGTTTTTGACTCGGTGGTATTATGTAGGGTGAAGTTGAGGAGAGAAAGAGATTTTGATGCGAATTAATTTTTCTAGTTAGCCCTAGCTGACATTTGGTTTCCTGACCTTAATCTCATCAGATCTGAAATGTAAAGTCATTTTGATTACTAAACTTCCAAGCAATTAGTTGTTAGATGTCTTTTTGTCTCTTATATTTTTAATTTTTCCATTTGAAAGTAAAAGGGCCCATGTTCTGAAGATTGTTGAAGTAGACTCCTAGAAACAGTCATGACATGGTTTTAACACACAAGTTCATTTTTAGTTTCTTTAGTTAAATTGGCAAAGAGCATACCTTTGTCAGATTCTACATTTTGAGGAAACACTTAGAAATAGTTTCTTAATCGTGTTTCTTTCTCCTGCATTTGAAGCATATATTGGATATGTACATACTCCATTTATTAAGTCATCAAATTAGAAGGAGCATTTAAATATTATTAAAAATAAAAATACTAAATTTTAAATAAGGAGAAGAGATCCAATCAGATTACAAGGTAAAAACTTTGATTAATTTATATTACTACAGTTCCACGTTTATTTAAATAGGACTCTTCAGAAATGACATCTTTACTCATATTCTCAGTGCCAGTTTCGGCATTAAAATCTGTTACTGTATAGTGAACTATAAAAAATTCTGCTGCTTCTCAGTAATTAATCTATTCCCTTATTTCAGTTGACTTGGTTACTTATATAACAAGGTTTCAGTGGGACATGGCTAAATATCCAATCAAGCAGTCCCTGAAAAATATTTCTGAAATAATTGCCAAGGTAAGATAAAAAAAATGACACAGGTAGGACATGTTGATTTATAGTAGCTTTATTTATTTTATAAGTATTTAGCCATTAAATACTCTAGGTTTTGACAAAGTAACTTAAACGTGACTGACACAAAAGGGAGGTACCTTTACTGCAACTTTATTAAAAAAGGAAGATGTTAAAAAGTACAACACTTTCATGTATAGATTATCCATGTTGTAGAGTTTACATGTTTATGTGGTAATTATTGCATCAATAATGTTTAAGTAAGGAAAACTTGAAATTCTAAAATTATTATTTATATATGTTTTAAAGGTAACTAAGATCATGTATAATAGGAAATTGGAATCTATTGAAGATCTAGGAGTCAGGTCGTTTGAGTATGTTTATGTACAGTATGGATTTAGACATTAAACTTTATGGGTTCTCTGATGTTTTCTGATGGTAGATTCTCTATCTAGAAAAATGCCCATATTCATGTACCACATGATTTTATGTACAGTTACACGGATGCACAGATCCTGAGGCCCATCCATGAATGTGACGAGTTAAGAGCTAGGTCCTTTTATATTGAGAAATCCTTGAGCTTGAGACAAAATGTAAAAGTCTTAATTGAAACCGTAATGAAGCAAATAGATAAGGACCTGTTAATTGTTTGCTAACTTTGTTATGACCTAGCTCTAATGAGAAGTATGTTTTAAATTACTTGGACAGACTTTCCTTGGTGCCTGATGACTTTATTTCTACAGTGTACTCTATAATTAATTGTAAGTGAATAGACTATCAAGGATTTTAATGAGTCATCATAATTAATGAAAATGAATAGTTTAATAATACAAAGTGGTGCTCTTACTATGACTGAGCCTTATTTCTTTTTTATCCTTATCAAAGATTTAGTTGCCTTTCTCTTGAAGCAGGCTCAGAGAGGTGAAGTGATTTATCCAGTGCCACAAAGCTAATAATGGTAGAGCGCAGTTGAAACGAAAACTAGTTACCCAAATGTTAAATGTACTGCTTTGTGTTTTCTCCGTAAGTAGTTAGTAGTTTCAGTCATCTTTTTGAAAAATCAGCTTTTATAAATTTACAAATATATTCAACTACAATTTTAATTTCGTTACAAAAACATTTTGTGTAAATAGTGGTGTTGTGAACAAAACTATGTAGCTTAGTCCTTTTGGAAATCAATTATTTGACCTTGTGAATTAAAACCTTTTTTTGGCAAATCTCTACACCTGGTGGCCTAGATTCTACTTATGTGGATTAAGGAGTAATATAATAACAGTAATTTAAAAATATAACATCTTAAGTGGAAGAGATCATTTGGAAATTACTATGGTTATTAAAAACAAAGTAGATTTTTTTTAAATTGATCTTTTAAAGTCATGCTTTTAAAATAATAGAATATTCTTATATCAGGAACTAGTTATGTTTTGTTTTTTAAAGTGAATGTTTAAGTACGGCTACTTTAATTGTGCTAGTAGAGGCAGATTTAGGAAAATTTTGCCTATTTCTCTTTCTTTTTTAAAGGGAGTGACTCAGATTGACAATGACCTGAAATCTAGAGCATCTGCATATAATAACCTGAAAGGCAATCTCCAGAATTTGGAACGAAAGAATGCGTAAGCATATTAAGTATATGTGAATATTAAGACTTGGGGAAGCATTCATACACTAAATGAGCTATTATTAGACTTTGCTAAATTCCAGTTTATGTGGTTGAAATGTTTTTTTCACTTGACAGAGAAAAGTTCATTAATTCAGGCTGGTCAAACAGATGTGAGGCTGATATATTATACTTGTTTCATATACAGCACTTGTGAATTGGGTCCTGGGTTATCCCTTTATCTATTTGATTTTTTGTGAAAAATTGCCTAAAATTGTTTTTAAATAAAATCATAGTCCAATTGCATAGCAACTGTTTGCTGCTTAAAATAATTCTATAGAAGAATCCTTTTATAATGTAATACTGAATTCTTTAATGTTTTCCATGTTTCTATTTTTTACGTTAGGTTTTTTAAAAATAGAGCACTGTTATTTTTGTTGCTCTCATTCTGTTATGACTTCTACAAGTATAGCTTTAAGCACTTAACTGTTCACGTCACACATTCATATCCCAGAGGGAAAGTTGGTTAGATACTGTCAGTGGTACAAAAAGGCAAGTTATTTTCATTATGAAGCATACGAGGAGACCAACTCAAGGCTGATTTGAAAGAGTTGATTATTGGTTAACTGATCAAAATTGCCTGGTAGCAAATGATACCCAGCTAGAGGGAGGAAAATCAAAGTTTGTGCTTGGATGATAAAATTTCATAATTAAGATGTAGTAGACTTTAATTGATATCTATTGAATAACATTTTCCAAGTCAAGATACTGTGTATGTAATCAAGAGAAGAGCTGAGTTATAATAATTAAAGCAAACACAAAGAAAGACATTACAGGCAAATTTTGATATATGTTGACATTTCTTTGTTTGCAGGGATGGAAATACTCAGCTAAATTTTGAGTTCTGATAAAGTGAAAGTTAACTAATCCCTCTCTTGAGATGTGTTTATAGCATATGTGAATATAATTAACCTGGTATTTCTTTACTTGTGTTATTATGGAATTACATAATTATCAGCCTAATGATTTTTTTTCTCATTCATCAGAGGAAGTTTGCTAACTAGAAGTCTAGCAGAAATTGTGAAGAAGGATGACTTTGTTCTTGACTCAGAGTATCTCATCACATTACTGGTTGTAGTTCCCAAGTATGTCTCTTTATTATAGAAGGTTTTTACTTATTTTTCCACAAGAAAAATATTAGTATCTGGTATTGTAATTTGAAGTTTTCCATAGAACCCAAGTATAAAGGAATATCACCTTGTCACTCATTCTGTTAACCAACATGTACTCATGTGGCACATATAGGGGAATTTAGTTCATAACCTGGTAATGAAGATATCAGTTGTAATTTGAGATTCTAAATCAAATTTGGTACCGTGGTAGAGTTGGCTCCATTAAAAAATTAAATGTGCTAAATTATTGGGTTTTTTTAAATAAGAATTTTAGATTTTTCAAAATAGGAAGCTCTGTGTGTTTTTAAAAAATCCTTGTGAGTGGTCAGGATGAATTAAGCTGTTTTAAGAAGCAAAGGATGGATTATATCAGGGATTAGCAAATTTTTTTCTATAAAGGACCAGGTATTAGGTATGTTACACTTTGCGAGCAGTACATTCTCTGTTACATCTACGGAGCTCTGCTGCAGGACTTTGTGGTTGTCCCTGAAAGCAGCCATACACAATATTCTCAGTAAAATTTTATTGAGAAAAACAGCTGTGGCTATGGGCATAGTTTGGGTTAGATAACCCTTTGAAATCTCTTAGATTTGTCCTTTATGTGTTAATTAACATTTGATCATAGTTAATTTTGGTGAAATTAAATCTTTGGACACTTGTAGGAAGAGGAGAACTCTGTGTGTGAATACTGTTGGTGGTTCACTTCTGACCTACACTGAGGTTTCACCATCAGGGAATCTTTGGGTAATCCAAACTGAGGTGGAAGATTTGGGGACTCTTTACAGCAAAACTGCATGAAGTCCTCCTTTGCTGTACTCTCCATTTTTATCTGGTTAGGAAACCAGAAATACTGGAAAATGATGCCGCCTGGAAAGGGATGGGAAAGCACCTCCATTGAATTTACAGTGGTTGCAATATTATCTGACTTCTGCTTTTTCCCCCTTACCACAGAATACTAGAACGCTGGTTATTTTTAATAAATTTATGTGTGTCTGTGTTTTTGTACTATGTAGGAAAATAACCTTTGCCCAGATAAAGGATTTGTCTCATTCAACCTTTATTTATAATTTGCGTTTAAAACCAGATGTTTTCATAGTGTTCTATTCACTGTAATTAAAGCATAGGTTGTAGGGTACCCTATGTAATGAATTATTCACTCTACTGGCCCCCTTTTATTTTTATTCTTTATTCATTATATTATTTTAAATTTCTTTATTTAAGATAATGGTCTGTCCCCACATCCCCAAAAGCCACTGGTCTCTAGAGAAGGTTGTTGCACAATGTTCTGTGGCAACATAGTTTACCTCACGTTATTTATTCATGCTTCCTGGTACTCTGTGCTCCCAGGAAATATGGTTTTATCCTGTCCTTTACAACAGCCACTGAACAGAAGTGATGGTGCTTTCAGCATGGCCTTTTAGTTAATTGATTTTTAATGAGGTAATATAAATCAACCGTAAAGTTTGAAAGGGATTTGGAATCTGCACTTGGCTTTACTTCCTTTCCAAACCTAGTTCTAGGATGTGGCTGTTTTGCAATAGCTACTGGCTATAAGCGGGGGTGCACTGTATTTCCTGCTTCACCACTCAGTATATTTGAAATTCATTCTCAGTAGGAAACTTAGATTTTTTTGTTGAGGAGACTTGAGGTATACTTACTGTATTCAAATTTCACATTTGTCCCATAATTTTTTCTGTTTCTGGATAGGGCAGGAAGTAGGACTTGTTTTTTTTCACTTGTACTTATTGTACCTTTTCTGCAGGTTAAACCACAACGACTGGATCAAGCAGTATGAAACACTAGCTGAAATGGTAGTTCCAAGGTCTAGCAAGTAAGTAGTCATCTTTGTAAAACCCATTTCTTACCCAGAATTCCTTTTAGAGTTTAAATGTTGGGTTAGGGAATATTTTGTTTCCTTACCTTTGTAGTAAATTGACAGTTTCAGAACCATCTTTTTCACCTTACAAATATATGAATTATATTAACTCTAGTTATCATAATTTTAGACCTGGAAGGAGCTTTGCACAGTCTGATTGACCCACTTAGGTTTAGAGATGTACAAGTCTGAGGCTACAGAGTTGAAGTGGTTTGCCCAGAGTCACACATCTCATTAGTGGCAGGACTAGAATTAGAATCCAGGTCTCTGGGGTGGTACTTTTCCTGCTGCATTGTGCTGCCTTCTGAAAATTCTTCATTCAGTACTTACTGTATACCTACTGTGTCTGTAATTCCTCATTGATCTTGCAAAGGGAGTGTATCAAAATGGCTGCTAGAGTACTTTGTTAATCTCCAAATATTCATTATCACTTTCCAGTGAGTATAAATTCTACCTAATTTATACTTTACTTAAAAGAACTTATCAAGCATTTAAAAATTTTTGATTAACAAACATTGTGTGATTTGACAGTTATAACAATTCTGTGAGTAGTTTGGGCAGTTAACTCTTGTAGATGAGAAAATAAAAATCCAAAAGAGTTTAGTTGCCTAAGGCATGTATAGTGTCCAGAGGCAAAGTTAGGACCAAAACTCAGGTCCTCTAACTCCAGGTCCTGTACCCTTTTGACATTATACCATGTCATTTTTTTCTGTTATCTGCTATTCCACATAAGACGTTCTCTGAGAAAATATTAAATACAGTGTATATGCACTCCCCAAGGATTCTTTTGTATATAAATGCCTCAAGAGGTGGCAGCGTGATGAAGGAAAGATGTAGGAGATAGTGAAGAAGTGGTATTCGTAAGGCCAGGCCCATGAAATATTTTCTTTTCCAGTTTCATTGTGTCATATGGGAGGTAGCTTAGTATAATGGAAAGAGTCCTGGACCCAATCTGAGTTCTATTGCTGGTTCTGCTACCAGCTTGCTGTGTGACCTGGGGTAAGTCTTTTAACTTCTCTGGGCCTCATATTCTTTGTCTGTAAAATGAACATAGCAGCTTCCCTGTACACAATATGAAGTTATTTAAGGTTATTAAGGATTGCCAAGATACATAAAATATATAGGGTAATACAATTATTGTAGTTTCACAAATGGTGAGTTTTTGAGAATTAAACCATAGACATGAACTCATTATAATTTTATTTTTCCCTACTTAGTGGGGATACCTTCTACTTATATTAGCCCTTCACATGGTAAACTGAAGGCTAAGGTTATGTCTTGATACTAGTTTTCCATTGAAGCTTTTGGTCCTGACAGATAACACCTTCAAATACCTTTGTGCTCTGTGTTAAAGCCATAGGGTTTGACTCTGTGTGAGCGGCATGCACAGGAGGCAGGTATGGACCCAGGGCACACAGTGTCGCACCAAGTTGTACATGTGCCAAGCCGGAGTGCTAGGGGAGTGGCATGTAAGCTAGTTGAGTAGGCCCAGATTTACTCTGAAAGAAGGACTTTAAAAATATTACTTCAGAGAATTGACATCTTTTGAAAATCACTTTTTAGTGTAAAGGGAAAAATGTCAGGCAGTTAGTTTCGTGTAGGTAATTTCTGTCTTCTGAATGTCCTGTAATTGCTCACTGGCCAATTGAGAGTTCCCAGCTCTTGCTTACCCAGTGAAAACATCTCTTCTATTTGTTTCTCAGTTCAAAAGACTCTTGGAATCATTGACTTGAAATAGTAGCTCTTTGAATTTAGTCATTGAGAACAGAGCAGTCGCTCAACCAGCACTGAGAAGAGGATGGCTGGTTCATGTGGGGCAGATACACTGTGAGGGGTTAGTTTGGAATTCTGTCCACTGTTGAGGGAAGATATCTATGACTTGATGCTGGATTTTTTGCCTATAAAAACTTGAGTAATTACTATGTGCCAGTCATTGTTCTGAGTGCTTTTTAAGTCAGTTATAAATATAACACTTTCCTTGTTGCTTTTTGCCATGATACTTGAGTCAGCATTACTTTTTTTAAAATTAAGTTATTATTGATATACACTCTTATGAAGGTTTCACATGAAAAAAAAATGTGGTTACTACATTTACCCATATTATCAAGTCCCCACCCATAGCCCAGTGCAGGCACTGTCCATCAGTGTAGTAAAAGAGTCAGCATTACTCTTGAGAGCAGTGAAAATGAAAGGGAGATTTTGAGAGAAATTAGACTAAAAAATAGCATCTTCAAACCTAAAAGAAATAATTTCACCTAAAAAATACACGAAATCTAGCTATTTGTGAAATTCTCTACATCAGTCTTAAAATATTCGATGATTTGAAATGCTGCCATTATTGTGTGGGAAAGTCTGGGGATGTATTTAAAAAGCTATGTCAGAGTTATGGCCAAAGAAGTGGAGAACAGGCTACTGTCCTGCTTCTTTTTGCTGGGAAAACTGTCCAGAGAGAGGTGCTTTCATTTGTACTGTCAGAATTACCACTTCCATTTCTGTCTGCCTACTTTTGCTCGTTAAGACAGTCTGATGGGGTCAGATCACTGTTTAACTTTCTGCCTTTTCTCTGTTGTTGGGAACAGTACCCCAAGCTCATTGGTTACACCTAGAGAAGATAGTGTTACTTCATCTACATAACAGTAGAACTGAATGAAAAGAGTGAGTTTGGGTCATTTATTTGAACCTAATAGAACTTTTGCAAGTTGGGTGTAAACTAAACTAAGCCCCCTTTCAGGCACAATTCCTGGCCAGCATCATATCTAGGGAAGGTTCAAGTCCATGTTTAATCTTGAAATGATGGTACTTTCTTACCTTTTTCTTCACTTCAGAGCTTTCATTTGCTTCCACTCGGTATCACTGCTTTTGTGAAACTCTATGTCCCCTCAGATAGTTATTCATTCCCTTCTATGCCCCAACATATCACATAAATCTTGTATTACAACACAGCTCTGTGTTGTACTTATCTATTTGTATCTGTTTCCCCTGTTAGACCCGTGCCTTGAGGTGAGGAAGCCATGTCTCATTAGCTTTATTCCTAACAGCTGGCAAGAGCTGGTCACATTTAAAGAGGCTCGGTACATGCTGAATGACAGGAAGTGTGTTTACTAAGGACTCATGGTTTATTTCATTTTATTTGGTTCTTTTTTCATAGTTTATTTTTATGAAGTTTTAAGAAAAACCTCCCCTACGAGACAGAAAGAGAAATGCCCTTTATTTATTTTTTCTTAATATGACAGTGCAGTACGAATTAGTCATAAAACAAGACTGAATTTTTATCTTGGCTTCTTTCAATTCTGAGTAAAGCCAAATAACTTTGCCATGACCCAGGTCTCTCCATGATAAGAGCCTGCATAGTAGACACCTTGCTTGTTGACGCAGAGCCATCATGTCAAACATCAAATGCTTTTGAAATGGCTTTCAGAACAGCAAAGTTTAAAAGATTAGTATGATAGTCGTCGATTACTGTGATGGGTCTGGAATAGCCAGTCAAGTTGGATTTGGATTTGTTTTATCTCAGTCGGTCAGCACATCCCTGAGTCAGTCCTAGCAAACCAAAAGATCATTGAAGGTTTTTGTTGAGTTCTGTGTACTTGGTTGGTAGCTGTCTTGACAGGCACCAGGAGCAGAAACTAAGGGAATAGTTGTGAAAGGGCACCATTTACAAGGAGGTTCAGCTGTCTGAATCCAGAGTTGCTGAGTCTCTTCTGTGTCCGTGATTGTAGGGGGCGGTGCTCTCAGAGGCGCTGCTGGTCACACTGCTGGGCAGGGAGCCCCTGCTGGCTGGCTGACCAAGAGCCAGGGGGCTTCAGTGCTTGAAGCCATTCTGCCACTCAGCACTGGAGTTGCCTCCTGAATTTATCTTGGCTAAAGAGGCATTTCTTAGGTTTTCTGAAAAAACTAAGCTTCCTTTTCTTTTTTTCCTAATTCAGTAAAGTATCTTTGAATTACACTCCCTCAGGCTTGTTAAACTTACCTTTTCTGATTTCAGAAGTGCCACATTGTAAATAAGAACTAAAACTAAAAACAAAAACAAAAACAAAACCCTGATAAAGGAAAGACAGAAAGGAAGAGCCCCTGAGTGCTGTTATACTGCCCCAGGATGAAACGATCCAGTGTGTAGCATCCTGAACCTTGCATATGGGATTCTCTACATAAGTAGTCATAGTAATTTTTATAAGTCAAATTAGGATAATGCTGTACTGAAATGTACAGTATGCCTTGCCAAGCAGTAGACTTTTACCCAGGGCATTACAAATTTATGTGACAGTTAAACTTCCTGATAGTGGGGTGTGGAAAGATCTTTCCAATGATGTCCATAGAGCTGTGACTAGAGAGAAGTTCTGACCTTGCTGGGATTTTCTAAAGCCTAAAAGGAAGCCCAGAGATTCCTTTAGACCGTTGCAATTGTCAATTTTTTATTTTTGTGTGATGGGAGAAAAGGAAAGATCTGAGGTAGGAGGTTTGGCAATGTAGAGAGGTGGGCCAGGCCTCGGTAGGTCTGGGCTGGCTGGAAAGAGGAAGAGAGAGTTTGGTTTGCAGAAGAGAAGAGGATGTTTAGCGAGAAAGCAAGGAGACTCTGGAAAGACTGGCTGTTAGGCAGTTTTGCCTCACCAGCCTGGCACTGATACAAATTGGAAAGCATGGTTCTGAGGGTTCGGATGCTTTACTTGAGTTAATGTTTAATTTTGTTGGGTTAGTAAGAAGGAACTGTAATACAGGGCTATTAAAGCACTGTAAAGAAAAACATTATAAACACTGAATGTCTGCAGTGTTTGAGGCAATTGAAGTGTTTTGGGAAGGGCTGCCATACCCTACTGTTTTACCCGTTCCTCCCTCTCCTATGTCTCTGAATTCTACCCTTGATATGAAAGAGAGCAGTAAATGTAAAGCTTTACATGGACTTTATCTTTTTCCCATAGTGTTCTCTCAGAGGACCAAGACAGTTACCTTTGTAGTGTCACCTTGTTCAAGAAGGCAGTTGATGACTTCAGACACAAAGCCAGGAAAAACAAGTAAGATGATTGTTTTTTGTTTTTTAGTTCATTAGATCCCCTGTATATGGTGTGGACAGTTTTTTTTTTCCCCCAAATTCAGATTCATCGTTCGTGACTTTCAGTATAATGAAGAGGAGATGAAAGCAGATAAAGAAGAAATGAACAGGCTTTCTACTGACAAGAAAAAGCAATTTGTATGTGTTCCTAATATTTAGTATTATCAGTGTTAAGCATAAGAAAAAGTGGTGTTGCTTTTCTTTGATTTAAAAGCAAACCTCTGATTTTGCTTTTAGGACATTGGATTTTAGTTACTTTTTCTATTAAATAATAAAAATGAATTTTCTCTAAATAAGCTTAGATATGTGAGTAGTTAAAATACATGGCTTTAAAATTAATTACTCCATCTAAATACATATCAAAAATTAATTTTAAATGCAGTGCTTTGATTATGCCCTTATAGCTAGAGGTTATTTTATTAGTTAAGTAGTAGTTCTCTATTTCAGTAAGAATTTTCATTTTCTTGAGGCAAATTTTTTTAATGCCACAATCTTTTACTGAAGCTATTTGTATTTAAGCCATTGCAGTGTTAGAACATTCTAGACAAGATGGGGAACAGGGATGGAATTGTAGAAATAAAAGATGGTATCAACTTTCTTGCCATCTTTAAGTGCAGGATTACTGGGAAGACTAGAAGTATGTATGGAAGGGGAAACATGAATGAAAATGTATTTCTCTTGAAATGCAAGAGGAAATATAGGGCAAATCTTATTAAAATTATTTCTAAGTAGTTTGTAAACCATATCATCCCAATTTGGGAGAAAACTAATCCAGAGAACAGATTTTTTTAACCAGAGATTTTTGCTTTACTTTGTTACCCTTTTTGCTGAAATTAATTAGTTGATACATCCAAATAAGCTTAATCATATTACTAAATAACTATGAACTGAACATGTATGTCTTTTACATATGGAGAGGCAATATTAGTTACTTGAACTCTTTTTCTTTAAAGAGGTATTTTTGTTTAGTACTGGAAATTACACTGAATATTTTAAGTTCAAAAAGAATTTATACTCTGTAGTAGAATCATTAAAAATTTATAACATGAAGAGGTTTTAGGGATCTAGGTAAGCCACCTGATCTTACAGATGAGAAAACTAAGACCTAGAGATATTAAATGATTTACTGTGTGACTATCTTTGTTCCAGAGAAGTTGTTTGTTAAGGTGAATTCTATTTTAAATGTATGAAATGCTTTAGAGTATTGCATAGTCAATTCAGATTTTTCTATTTTGGTTTTCAAACCTAGGCCCCCTCTATTCTCTGTCAGTTTAAACTTCTTCCATTAAAATATATGCCATTTTCTATTTAGTGAATAGGTTCAGTGAATTTTAGTGTCTACTGAGGTTACAGAGTAGTGGCTAACCTTTTAATCAAATTAAAGATAAGATGTTTAAGATAGAATAATGAAACATTTTAAAAGTGAGTTGTAATGTTAATTCTGCTATAGATTCTTACTGGATAGTCATTCCTTTAAAAATATTTGGTTTATTAATTTCTAAAATGCCATTTCAAGACCAAATTGTGGTGATAAATTTTTTTTCCTTTTTATAGGGACCACTTGTACGGTGGCTGAAAGTGAATTTTAGTGAGGCCTTTATTGCGTGGATTCATGTGAAAGCCTTGAGGGTTTTTGTTGAGTCTGTTTTAAGGTAAAGAAAGTTAAGAAACTTGAAACTAAAGAATTCATAGATCCCTTTACTTTGGAACCTGTGTATTTTAACACACAGTCCAGTAATAGGAAATCGATTTAGAGAAATGGAGGGGCCAATCATGAGGGAGAGACTGTCAGTATGATTCCATTTATTATGTGCCGATTAGTCTTGTTCCTTTATAACAGGTTTGGAAAAAGAGGTCCATACTACTGTACTCTGCTTGTTTTCTTATGTGATTAGGTTAAAAATAGATTATAAAATATTAGTCAGTGTTTGTTGAGAAGGTGTTTCAAATATTTTACATGTAATTTGGTACAGAGTATACTGATGATTTATTTGAAATCATTGTTCATATTGACCAGAGATTGAGTTTCTGGGCATATTAGTTAAGCTTGTAAAAGTGGCCGTTAAAATGAGGAACTTAATTACAGTTAACAGGGAGAGGGTTCCTCATTTTAACGGCCTATAATTAAAGAAGAGTATCAGACTATTTGCTTTAAAAAGAAGTATCTTTGTATGTTTTCTTGTGTTAGATACTAACATACTGTATGTCTGCTTCCTTACAAGGTATGGCTTGCCCGTGAACTTCCAAGCAATGCTACTTCAGCCCAATAAGAAAACAATGAAGAAACTAAGAGAAGTATTATATGAATTGTATAAACATCTAGACAGTAGTGCAGCAGCAATTATTGATGTGAGTACTTTCTAGGTAGCCTGGTAGAGTAGGAACTGGAAAGAATTTCAGAAAAACTTACTGAAAGAATATAGAAGAGGGATAGTAAATGTATTATTTAATCTTTTTAAATTTCTTTGAAGTTCTCAATTAATTTGTTGGATAAACATAGCAAGTAATTTACTTTGTTGACCCTGGTTTATACTAGTTAGAGAAGTGTTTTGCTTCTTTTTATTTCTAAAAGCCAGTCATTATCTAGCTGTAGATATGTTATAACTGCAGAAATACAGAAATACTCAGTGATTCTAGTTGTTTACAAAAATACAAATTTCCAAAAGGAAGAAAATAAGTAGTTATTTTACTTTATTTGGTAGACATAGTGGACTCAATAGATGAGCATTTTAAAGGAAATTACCATTTTTCTAAAATGGTATATGTTTATATCCTCTTTTAAACACGTGTGTGTGTTTTTTGTTGTTATTGTTGTTTAAAAGTGTACTGGGCTTTTATATTTTTTATTTAAAATATCTTGCTTATTTTTTTCCTCCTTAGGATGGTAGTATCTCACATATGCATTGTTAGAACACATGAAAAATAAGTTTTTCTTGATAGAAGAAAATGTAGGAAATGACTTTCTACATTTTATGTGATTGTCAGTTGATACATAATTTCATAGTAGTAAATTCTTATAACATGCATATATAATAAGTGATATCATAAAATCATACTTGGTTCATTTTTATCTAGCATTTTATAAAACACATGTGCCATAAACTCAGTATCATAAGCCTGAGATTTCAAAAGTCATTTTGTATAGTATACATAAAAAAGGATGGTAAGGTCATTATAAAACACATCCAGGCTTTGGAGTCAGAGTGCTTGAATCTGGCTTTACTAGTCCCTGTGTTTCCTAGGGCAGTTCATCCTTTCTGAGACTGTTTTGTGCATTCGCAAAATGGAGGTGGTAATGCCTAACTCAGATTAAGTTAGCATAAATGCATAATCTTAGCCCAGAGTAGGTGTTCAATAAGAAGGTAAGTGGTAATACTTTAGTTCTTTATTTCTGTAAGTACTTAATTGAATAATTGATTTTTCCATAGGCTCCTATGGATATTCCAGGCTTAAACCTGAGTCAACAGGAATACTACCCTTATGTGTACTACAAGATTGACTGCAACTTGCTGGAATTCAAGTAAAAATGAGCTCCTCCTCAGACAATCTTGTCCTTGTGTTGGTGTATGCTAACAGAAATAGGTTGCAGTATGACAGTACTTTTAACTCTCTATTATCCTTTGCTTGCTTCTAACACCTTTTCCTACAAGTTCTTCCATAGTGGTCCATTTCTCAACATTTTCTTTTTAAAGGAAAATAGATGTCTTGTTTCTTTTTATTAATCAGGTCTGTAAATGTGTACTAAAAAATCAGAGTTTATTTATAAAACAGATGAGTTTATTTAAAGAGAAGGTCTTTCCTCAACGATATTGTGGTATGTATGCATTAATTCCATTTGTTACTATTGTGCACAAAAGCCTTGTTTACAAGGGAATGGTATAAACCTTTATACCATTTTGTTCACTGTATTTAGTAGACATAACTGTTTAATAGTTATTGAATTGTGATGTAAAGAAATGTGACAATATTCAGGTATATGCTTTCTGAATATTTCAAATTACAATCTGTGAGTACTGTTGACACCCACAGGAGAGAATAAAATGACCTGTGAAAAGGTGTATTGTGTGTGTAACTTCAGAAGATTACAGTTCAGTTTGAGCATTTCATGAGGACATCATGGCTGAATTGCTGTGCTACCTTCGAACTGTTGTTCTGTACCAAGGGTGACCATTTGTGTCCAATTTGTATATGATTTAAATGTGCCAAATATGGGTCACAGCACAGATTTACAGATCCTTTTTCAGTGTATGATAGGTATTTACATTTGGACACTGGACTTTTATCTTTCTTAAATAGGAAGTTGGGCCAATTTTGAATAAAATATAGTAAAACTAAGCAGTTTTAGTCATTTTTACCTAAGTATTTTACATGTTTCCTTTTTATGATCTTGATTATAAAGCCTTTGTTTTGACAGTTACGTCATTTATGGCATAGTCAGAAAGAGGCTTGCTAGCCTTAAAAACCTCTGAAGTGAGTGATGTGTTTTAGCCTCCTGAAAGCTTTTAAGAGAGGGTTTTGTGGCAGTGCTAGCCTTCTAGGAACTCACAGGCTTGTAAGTGGGAGAAGGAAGTTTATGTTTTGTTTTAAGGGTGTTTCAAAAATTAACCTCCCAATGCTTTTTATTTCAGAATTATATATTGTTATTTCAAAAGTAATTAACATGAAACAAATCCAGACTTCTATAAAGTACAACATGAGAGACAACCCCTCCTGCCCCCCAAATTTCTCAAGGAAGCTTCTGTATCCTTCCATGCCTTTTTCATGTATCTCCACAACATATGTATCACATGGAGAGTTTATTTATTTTTATTAAAGTATAATTGATATATAATCTTATGTTGTTTTCAAATATACAGCACAGTACTTCCAACAGTTACCATATTATTAAATCCTCACCCCTCTAGTGCAGTTACTATCAACGTAGTAAGATGTTACAGAATCATTGACTGCGTTCTCCATGCTGTACTACCATCCCCATGACCAGCTTATATTGTAATTGTGAATTATTGTGCCCCTCTATTCCCCTTACCCCTCCTTCCCTACCCACCCCAACCCTGCCTCCCCCTTGGTAACCACTAGTCCCTTCTCAGTGTCTGTGAGTCTGCTGCTAATCTGTTCTTCCTGTTTTGCTTTGTTTGTTTTTGCCATAATTTTTTTTATTATGGTATGATTGATGTACAGTCTTATGTTCAGGTTTCACATGAGCAACATTGTGGTTACAACATTCCCCCTATTATCAAGTCCCCACCACATACCCCATTACAGTCACTCTTCATCAGCATAGTAAGATGTTATAGAGTCACTACTTGTCTTCTCTGTGCTATACTGCCTTCCCTGTGCCCCTCTATATTATGTGTCTAATCATAATGCCCCTTAATCCCCTTATTCCTCCCTTCCCACCCACCTTCTTCAGTCCCTTTCCCTTTGGTAACTGTTAGTCTATTCTTGGGTTCTGTGAGTCTGCTGCTGTTTTGTTCCTTCAGTTTTTGCTTTGTTTTTATACTCCACAAATAAGTGAAATTGTATGGTATTTGTCTTTCTCTGCCTGGCTTATTTCACTGAGCATAATACCCTTTAGATCCATCCATGTTGTTGAAAATGGCAGGATTTCTTTTCTTTTTTATGGCTGAATAATATTCCATTGTGTATATATAACACATCTTTATCCATTCATCTATTGATGGATGCTTAGGTTGCTTCCATATCTTGACAGTTACAAATAGTGCAGCAGTAAACATAGGGGTGCATATATCTTTTCGAATCAGGGATTTTGTTTTCAACAGGTAAATTCTTAGTAGAATTACTGGGTCAAATCGTTTTTCTGTTTTTAGTTTTTTGAGGAACCTCCATATTGCTTTCCACAACAGTTGCACCAGTTTACATTACCACCAGTAGTGTAGGAAGGTTACCACTTCTCCACATCCTCACCAACATTTGTTATTTCTTGTCTTTTGGATAGTAGCCATCCTAACTGGTGTGAGGTGATATTTCATTGTGGTTTTAATATGCATTTCCCTGATGAGCAATTTGGGACATCTTTTCATGTGCTTGTTGGCCATTTGTATTTCTTCTTTAGAGAAGTGTTTGTTCATGTCCTCCACCCAATATTTAATCAGGTTATTTGTTTTTTTTTGGGTGTTGAGGCATAAGAGTTCTTTATTTATTTTGGATGGTAACCCTTTTCCAGATGAGCCATTTACAAATATATTCTCTGATAACTGTGGGATGCCTTTTTGTTCTGATGGTGTCCTTTGCTGTACAGAAGCTTTTTAGTTTGATGTAGTCCCACTTGTTCATTTTTTGTTTTGTTTCCCTTGCCCAAGGAGATGTGTCCAGGAAAAAATTGCTCATATTTGTATTCAAAAGACTTTTGCCTGAGTTTTCTTCTAAGAGTTTTATGGCTTCATGACTTACATTCATGTCTTTGATCCATTTCGAGTTTACTTTTGTGTATGAAGTTAGACAGTAATCCAGTTTCATTCTCTTACATGTAGCTGTCCAGTTTTGCCAACACTAGTTGTTGAAGAGGCTGTCATTTCCCCGTTGTTATATCCATGGCTTCTTTATCATATTAGTTGGCCATATATGTTTGGGTTTATATCTGGACTCTAGTCTGTTCCATTGGTCTATGGGTCTGTTCTTGTGCCAGTACCAAATTGTTTTGATTACTGTAGCTTTGTAGTAGAGCTTGAAGTTGGGGAGCGTAATCCCCCAGCTTTGTTCTTCCTTCTCAGGATTGCTTTGCCTATTCAGGGTCTTTTGTGGTTCCATTTGAATTTTAGAACTATTTGTTCTAGCTCATTGAAGAATGCTGTTGGTATTTTGATAGGGATTGCATTGAATCTGTAAATTGCTTTGGGCACAGTAGCCATTTTGATAATATTAATTCTTCCTATCCATGAGCATGGGATAGATTTCCATTTTTTGGTGTCTTCTTTAATTTCTCTCATGAGTGTCTTATAATTTTCAGAGTAAAGGTCTTTTACCTTCTGGGTTAGGTTTATTCCTAGGTATTTTATTCTTTTTGATGCAATTGTAAATGGAGTTGTTTTCTTGGTTTCTCTTTCTGCTAGTTCATTGCTATTGTATAGGAATGTGACAGATTTTTGTGTATTAATTTTATATCCTGCAACTTCACTGAATTCAGTTTTTATTTCTAATAGTTTTTTGGTGGAGTCTTTAGGGTTTTCTATGTATAATATCATGTTATCTGCAAATAGTGATAGTTTAATTTCTTCCTTACCAATTTGGATGCCATTTATCTCTTTGTGTTATCTGATTGCTGTGGCTAGGACCTCCAGGACTCTATTGAATAAAAGTGGTGAGAGTCGACATCCTTGTCTTGTTCTTGATCTTAGAGGATACACTTTCAACTTTTCGCTATTAAGTATGATGTTGGCCGTGGGTTTGTTATATATGGCCTTTATTATGTTGTAGTATGTACTACCCTTCATACCCATTTTGTTAAAAGAGTTTTTATCATGAATGGATGTCGAATTTTGTCAAATGTTTTTCAGCATCTATTGAAATTATTATGTAATTTTTATCCTTTTTGTTAATGTGAGTTGTATATTGATGGATTTATACATATTGTACCATCCTTGTATCCCTGGAATAAATCCCATCTGGTCATGATGGATGATCTTTTTGATGTATGTTTGAATTTGGTTTGCCAATTTTTGTTGAGTACTTCTGCATTCATGTTCATCAGGGATATTGTTCTGTAATTTTCTTTTTTGTGGTGTCTTTCTCTGGCTTTGGTTTTAGAGTGATGCTGGCCCCATAGAATGAGTTTTGGAAGTATTCCCTCCTCTTCTACTTTTTGGAAAACTTTAAGGAGAGTAGGTATTAGCTCTTCTTTAAATGTTTGGTAGAATTCAGCTGTGAAGCCATAGAGTTTTGTTTGTTTTTAGGTAGTTTTTTGATTATCAATTTGATTTCATTGCTGGTAATTAGTCTGTTCAGGTTTTCTGTTTCTTCCTTGGTCAGTCTTGGAAAATTGTATTTTTCTGGAATGTTGTCCATTTCTTCTAGGTTGACCAAGAGAGTTTATTTTTAAATAAGAATAGGATCATACTGCACACCCTCTGTCACTTGCTTTTTGCCTGTTAGGCTATCCAAGGTAGCTTCACATGGCACTCTAGCTAGATCTACCTTATCATGCCAACCACTGACATGGCTGCTCATTGTATTTGTACCATAATACAGCTCACTGGATGGGTGTTCAGGTTGTTTTTAGTTTCTGCTCTTAGAAACACTGCTGTAATAAACATCTTTGTACAGATATCTCTGTTTTCTTGCATTAGTATTTCTGTAAGAGAAATACTGAACGAGGGGTTGGTAGGTCACTGGCTATCTGTGTTTAAACTTTTGACACACACTGCCAACTTACTTGTCAATATTTTAAATTCAAGACATGTTCAAAGTGTGGGTTTAATTTTCAATTTTCCCTTTTTTAAGAGGAAGCTGAAAAGATTTGGTTTTGATGTCAGGAAATTCTTGTTCTCTGTCTTTTATTAAGTGTTCTTTGAGTCTTAGTATCTGTAAAATGGGTATAATCTTATCATCATAGGGGAATGTGTTTTGGCAAGTAGAAGATTGGTTGGCCTCCATGATGATTATGGTTTTGCTTAGACTTTAGTGTTGTTTGGATACGAGTAGGTGGGGATTGTGTCAAGTCTAAAATCCCAGTCTATGTTTGAAACTGTGGGACTTGCACTGTGATTTCTCCCAGGGATGCAGAGTGGCTGAGAATGTAGGTCTGGAGCCAGAACCCACCTCTGCCACTCATTAGCTATGTGATCTCTGTGCCCTTTGTAGTGGGGATAAAAGAGTGGCCACCCCCAGAGCTCTTGTGTTGAGCAAACCAGATCCCATGTGTGCATAAAGTACTTAGAGTGGTTCCTAGTGAGAGCCAGATTCTGCCCTTAGGATCTAGAGGAGTGCCTGTAGCTCCCTTCTCACTTCTGTTTAATCTGGGAATTTCAAGGTACATGTCACTGTGGTATTGGACAGATTGTATATGTGTGGTGAGTGAGAAATAGCATTTGTGTCTGTGGCATGATGTTAAATCAGTTTGAGCATCCCTGAGCTTCAGTCATGCTGGATTATTTATACTGTTCGAGGCAGCTGCCAGTGTCTGTTGCTCACCTTGCTTTTTGTTTGCTGCAGAGTCTATTGGTTCTCCTCTAGGGTAGAGCCCAGGTAACTTTAAGATTCATTTAACATTTATTCAGTGTCTGTTGGATACCATTCTGCCAGTACTGTCACACCTGTTACCTCATCCTTCCCCGTGCTCATTCTGGGAGGGTGGGCTGTCTCCGTTCTCCATGTAGAGGCTTGGGGTCAAAGAAGTTACTTGTGACTTCTTCATTAAAACTCACAAATTTTGAGTCAGAGTCAGAATTTGAACCTAAGATTTCTGACTGCCAGGCTCTTGCCTTCATGTCATGCCTCCCACCATCCACGAGGTACTGTACCAGTGAGCCAAACACATTGCTTAGCCTTAGTCCTTAACCTGAGTCTAAGATAGACAATGATAGAGAAAAGGTATCAGGGTGCACCACCAGGTATTAAACTGTGTTTGTCTTCGGCAGGAACCCAGTAGCCCAGAACATTTCATGGATGATGGGTGATGATGTGTTTTAGGTGTTGTATGCTAATTTCAGTAGCTTAACTTACTCAACCTAGAAGATACTCCTACCTGCTGAAGTTGCTTTTACATAGACACTGTGTGGTCTGGGTGGGACATATCCCATATCAAGTAGTACCTTTAAAATAATACTTTGTATGTAATAAATGCTCAGTGAATGTGGACGTTTCTTTGCTCTC